ACGTAAACGTTCGGGGAGAGAAGGAAGTGGCATCTATCGGGTTTCTCTTCAGCACTTCCGTGTACATGGCTTCATTTTTTTTTTTTTTGCGTGTCATTCTTTCACGGTGGGCTAAAAATAGTTCTGAAAATGTTATCGGCGATTGTTTTTAATATATCATATATGGTGCGTAAATTTGAGCTCTCAAATACCGCAAAACGTTCGGTCCATTGACGCATGCGTTAGAAGCGTTCCAGGTGTGTCTGATAGATGGCGTCAGTGCCTCGAAGCTGGTTTACTTAGCCTAGATCGAAGAGAGGGTTCATCTCAAACAATGTGAAGCGTTGGAAATTTAATGGCGGGCGCCTTCTGCGGCTATTGAAGCAGTAATTGTGACGTCACCGCTGCAAAGAAACCGTTGCTAGGTGCGTTGATATGGACGAGTACATGGAACTGGATTTCGCTTCGAAAGAATGATCGGTCAGAAATCGGACGTGAAATTTAAACGTCTAAAATTAATAGATTTCGGGTGCCTAGATGTTACGTTTACCACGATAGAAGTTTGCCGAGAATCGTCTGTTTCTGAAATATTTGAGACGACATCTTCCGCACCTCGATACGTCTCGACATGCCTGCTACAGACGACAAACCCATGACGAACGCACACAGAATGACTAGAGTATGCCGTGTGCAACAGTTTAAATCGTTTGTACAATGATTTGTTTTGGGTTTTGTAATTATTTAGAACATAGCTGGCGTAAAAAAAACACAAAAAAACTCACCGGATTTATAAAAACGGATTGTTTTGACGTGCGATACGATACAGTGACAAAAATCATCACATGCATGGCGATCTGTTAGAAATACAGCGAGAAAAAGCATATGTTTAGAACATGATATAAAAAACAACGTCGGGCTCTTTTTGGTTTTGCAGTTGACGTGCGTAGTAATGAAAGAGAAATTGTTTTGATGCTAACATAAGCGCTTTGAGACCCCAAACTTCGTTTTTCAGGTTCGCAATATATGAGGGTGTGTTTTGTACCTGCTTGTAATCATCACACTGAGAAAAAATGCTACTGATTCTTCAGTTTTATGTAAGACACCGAATAGTGAAGGAGCTGAATAATAACATCGGGTACGTTTTATTGCCACGTGCGTGATCGAGAAGGAACTCCTATGCACACATCTAGAAGATTCGTGTTTACTCTTACTCCAAACGTGAAACACAAGAAGGGCAGAATGTCTTTGCGTAGTTAGTCTAAAACATTCTAGTTCGAATGTACGAGATGCCGAGTCCAGTAGATAAAGAGTCGAGTGCGAGCTATGCCGACTCACTCAGATTCTCCCGACGACAAGGCACATTCACACTCGTTTCAGCCGGCTGTCACGCCGACCCCGCGACGTACGCTGCTGCTGTTTCGACACATTCCTTCTTTCGTTTCTGGCACAAATTCGCCGATAAAACTTATTTTCAGTTTACGCTGTTCCAGCATTTTCCATGCGTGAACTTTCTGGTGGAAGTGCGGGGTAAATAAAAAAGAGTTGCTTGTCGGTCATGCACGTGGCAACATACCATATATTTTACGGACAATTTGTTTGCTTGCACAAACGTGCACTGAAGAACTGTGCTGTCAGAAATACCTGAAACGTGTACTGGCCTCCCGTTGGACCTTTATACTCTGCACGTCGTCGTCATGCGTGATTCGGCTTCAGTGTGTTCCCCTTCTCGAATATTGCGGAAACGAGCTCCACGGTTAGGCGTTCACGCGCTCGAGCACCTCGAGCGTCGATCAAAGCTGTGTACGGGCACTGTTCGCTTTCGAAATCCGATATAAAGTTGGCCCCGAGACTAGAGGTTTCGTTGATCGTTACCAACTTCATTCAATGCAGGCGCGTACTCTCTCAGAAAGAAACACTGAAGCCGCGGAGCCATCGTGTCGTCTGCTGGTAAGGCAAAACCGGTTGTAAAACTTACATACGGGCTTTTGTCATTGCTTTATGGTTTATCTTCTCTACTGGCACGATAGAAAAAAGTTTCCATGGTTGGATATTGAAAAGACACAATCCTTACTAAAAATTATTTACTTTTTTATCAGACAATTTCTAACCTCTCATCGAGCCCCCATGCATTGGTTCATAACAGCGGTCATAAAAACGGTTTGTTTGGAGAGGAGCGCCATGTTGTGACGTCATCACTTACGGGGACAATCGGTCGCAAGTGCGCATGCGCTGCGTTTTTGCTTGACGACGAGAAAAGCAGGCCGGAAACGGGGAAGCGTTTGTAGACGATGAACGCTTTCGTCCCTTCCTCGCAGCTCGTATTGCAAATGCGACCCCGATAAAGCGGTTGGACACTTTGCGTAATAAGGGCTCTCTAGGCTGGTTCACGCACTTGCCTTTGACTACGACGGACTGCGCCATATCCATTTTTAAAGCCTCTTGTGACTGCTTGCGATCGGCTGCTTATGCCTATTGTAACCGCTTACGACCGGTCGCAAGCAGTCACAACATGTTTTAACCAGTCCTCTGCCGAAAGCAGTCGCAAGTGTGTGTGAATCAGCCTTCAGTATGCTAATCGATTACAAGGAAACGCAAAAGACTCGAACACCGCCAAACGCAAATGTGCGAATCAGCCTTTGTTTTCAACTCCAAGGATATCGCCGATATCGCCAAGATCCCTAGCCTCACGGCTATAGTCGGCGGCAGGTTCAGAGCCCAAGGGAAACTTCCCCCACCTTTTTCCACTTCAGCAGAGCAAACGCTGGAGAGGTGCTCGCCTCCTCACCAGCGTTCACTCGGCTGAAGTGGAAAGAGGTATGAGGAGCTTCAACTTAACTTTTAAACTGTCACAGTTCGAAGGGCATTAAAAAGAGTTTACACCGTTCAAACAAAAATAATAAAACACTGAAATGGACGAAGGACAAACACACAGAAAGAACCGGGAATGCCTGTCCTTCGTCCATTTCGGTGTTTTATTCTTTCTGTGTGAACTATATAGTCTATCCAACGCGCTCTGCTACGTGTACACAGTTTCGATCGTCGAGCTGACACCCGATTGGGTCTGATGTTTTTAGTGTTCTGTCTTTTTATTCTCTCTCTCACAGTACAATGAATTGCTGGGTACCAGGGGAGAAGCTGGTGAGAATGTTTCTTTGTTGTTCAAGATTAGTTGGACGCCACTGTAGGAACAAAACGGGTTTTACTTTCAAGGCGTTTATGGGGTCAGCCTGAGGGGTTTCGCGTCCCTGACATGTCGCTATGTACTGTATGGCGTGAGATGGACCCCTGGCATCATAATGTCATGTGACATTGTGAAGTCCCTGTAACTATTACGTCACGTGACTTCATGATTCACCCGGTTTCAAGAGTCCGATAAGTCGATAATTTCACGTGACATAATGACGGCACATGACCTGTTAACGTCACTGACATTATGCCGTTACGTGACATGATGCCGTCACGTGATATGATGACGTTACATGATACCTTGACGTCACCGACATTATGCCGTAGCGTCACATCATGACGTCACGTGACAATGTGGCGGTTTTTTATAATCACAAAACCGTCGCAATATGCCCTTGAGTCACCCTTGTACTTTTAACGTAAAAAGAGGCGCGGGAAGGCTGTATAATCTCGATGCCTTTAAAACGTCGTTAGAAAATGGCGAAGAGATAGCCAGTTCTTTATTGACTCGTTTTTGACATTTAGTATTGCCATTACACCCTCTGCAAGTTAAACCCTTCTACAAAAACACGTTACTGTTTCGCTTGCATTAAAAATTGAAGCATTCCATACCAATGGGTTTTAAAAAAAAAACTTGGAAAACAAATGCTATAGGGAGCTCGTTTTTTTAGAAAGCGAAATCTCTTGCGTTAAGTTAATCAAGTCTAATTCAATAGAACAAGCACATATGCCGAAAGATATTGCCTTCATTAGTATATCGAATGGTGTCGCTCTTCCAAACTTGATGGCACTGAAGATATTATGAATTCTTACTTACGTTTCTAGGTTTTGTTCGCGATAACCAAGAAACATATTTACACATGTATCGCGTTCTATAGATGAAACATCATTATTCGGAACTTTGTTTTATAAAGAAGGCAACGGACGCTTACTCGTCTCAGCCGTCCAGGCACGCGATTCCTAGCGTCGCTACGTCCTCCTTTTTTACCGTTTTCTTTTTTGTTATATTCTAAGCTTTTGCAGCTGGCGACGTCTTCTCGAAGCGTCTCTTGACTCTTCAGCTTAAATTTTCTTAAATTTTTCTGACAGTGGCGTCGTGTGGTTAACGGAGCTCGAGCCGCGGGTGTTTGGCAACCGGCCATCTAGGCCAACTGTCTTCAACCTCGGCAAGCTTTGCTTCTTAAGGCTAAATCAAAGTTTCCTTCAGAAAGCATTAGAGTACGCTTTGATAGAGAATGCATGTTATCTGCTATTTCAGGCACCCAAATGCATCCTTGGCTCATTTGTTTTGCTCATATCAAGCGTTCCGCGGCAGGTCGACGTGTGGACACAGCTAATGCGGGCAAAAAAATGAAAGAGAGCGAAAGAGAGAGAGAGAGAGAGAAAATAGGAGGAGCAGGAGACGAGCGAGCGTGGAGACGTCAGAACGCTGAGCTTAAGTTGGAATGATTAAATTGTACAAGCAAACCTTTGTCATCACTGCCCTCGTCGAGCGCGTTCGAACGCCAACGCCGGACTCCGCCGTACCGCATTCTAAAATGTTCGACGAGAGCAGTGGAGACAACGGTGGCTAGCTATTCGACTGCCCACTCATCTCCTCCCCCCTCCCCCTCCCCCGCCCCCCACCCCCACCCAGCTTCTGCCCTTATCAAGAAAGACATTGCGCAACACTTGCGGTTAGACATGCTCTAAAGCAGTTTCGGTTTCATTTATTCTCTACTGCGTTTCCCGGCGTGAGCAGAACCTTCGCAGACACTCGAAGTACCCGAGCAAGATCGCGCAAAGCAGTCCGCCGAGTCCAAGGCACAGCTCACCCAGGAAGTGACGCCGGATGATCAGGAGGACCAAAGCTACAAGCGACTGTGTCGCGGAGAACTTCTGAGGGTAAAGTTCTTCTTCCACTAGGTTACTTTTGAAACAAACCTATACAAGAGGCAATGTATCTTTATTTTAATATTTCCCGCGCATGCGCGTGCTGTCCTCCACCTTGCACCTAATTCATGATCGTCGTTAAGCTACCCTGCCTGGAACGAGCCTGTTTAGCGCCTTATCGTCTTATCAAAAATGGCCCCCAAAATGTCAGCAACTGACGTCAAAAGCAGCCGTGTCAGACAGCTTTAAAGCCCGCGCGTTACGTACCAGGACGTCACGTTCGGGCATCCCGCACGGGCGCTGATTGGATCCGAGTGCCGCGTCAGCGTTCGCGTGGGACTACGATAGGAAACGAGCCCCACGCGAGCGCTGACGCGGCACTCGCCTCCAATCAGCGCCCGTGCCCGACCCCCGGACGTGACGTCATGTGACGTAACGCGCAAGCTCTGTTGTCTAGGAGGTGTTGGTCATTCCGTCAGGCGCTGCGACCCTGGCGGTCGGTACTAGAAGACTCGGCAAAAAGGACGACCGAATGCGAGTGTCCCTTCCATCGCGGCGTCCCAAACCCTGACTGATAGAGCTTCCGTGAACTGTCCAGCTGGAGAGCGACCTGCAGCAGAACAGACGTCGGCTGCATCCAACACCGCTGCAGCAACACCGCCAGGGCCGCGGCTGACGACAGCATGACGTCATCAGGTGGAAATCGAGGGATATTTTTTTTAGCGCGCTGTATTCGCGCCAGTCGGAGACCCGTTCCAGTCACCATCGCGAAGCGGAAATATAAAACATTAACTGCCGTGGTTGTCTCGCATTACACAATACAAACAAATTTCCCACGCTCTTAAAAGTCCAATGCACTTCCTTATTAGTATAGTTTTTATTTGAAAAATGCCCCAGCCACGAAAGGCAAATCGAAGCAACAGCGCATGCAATTCCAATAGATCAATTTAAACCAGCCACACTAAGAAACCTCTGGCCTGCAAACACACCTGCAACCTGTCGCAAATTACGTTCGCCGTTAAAGTGGATGCTAAGTTATGTTTAAAATGACTGCCCTCTATAGTCACATATTTTTTAAAACTATTCGTTCACCTTTAGAAATGGCATTGTAGCTAAGGATGAAAGAAGACCAGGCTGTACGTTCGGTCGTCTTCTTACATGTGAATCTCAGATACAGATGCAACAAGCTTAAGTGACCACATAAAGGGTGCGAGTAGTAATAATCCACCAGAAGACGAGCGTTTTCTATTTTTTTACGGTTATTATGATGAAGACAACAATAGTACTTGGAAACATGATGTCAGTAAAAAAATCTGTTTTAGTTATTTCTGACCTATCCTGTACTTCCGTCAGACATCGGCCCGTATTCAATTTTACTATATGCCAAAAACAACAGTGACACAAAACATATTCCCTAATTAAAGCATGGGTATTCTGTCCCGCTAAAGTTTAAGCTTTGCGACGCCCATATCAATAAACTACATCCGAAAATACCTGCATGTAACACTGAGTGTTGCATTATAAGACCTGATTGGTCATGGAGTGCAGTGGTTATTGTTTTGGTATCGATCACCCCGTTGATGAAGTACCGCATCCTCAGCGCTTTATAAAAATAAAGTCAGCGCTCGCTTCCATCGAACCTAATCATCTTCGCGAGGCCCGGGTTGAAACGCGAACCTACGGCGGCCTGAAAGGCCTGGCGAAGCTAAGGGAGGAGCCCTATAAGTGTCTGGCGGCCCGGACACCACTCTAGAGTGTAGCATGACCCTCCCTTCTCACGGATATCTTAAGAAGCCTAGGGGATTGCGAGGACGATAGAACATGATGACCGGCCCAGTATCCTTCTTTCATGTGCCATCTTCGTCCTGTGTTTACCTGTGCGCAAACCTCGGCACGTCGGGAACAAGAATAAATAAGAGGGATGCATGACGCAGCCAGGCACTCAAAGCGCCTTGAGCCATGTCCCCTGAGACAATTCTGTACAAGGTTGCGTTGAATAATCTAAAACTCAGACCCAAACGTGCCCCAGCATTCCATTCGCATCGGTAGGCAACGCATACAGTATTGTAAGTGTAACGAAAGTTACATTTTTGCGAATGCAAGCACTGTATTGAGTCTGTTCGTGATGTCATGAAGTGAAGTTGGACAATCAAAACCGAAACATTTGTGGTCAAGGGGTTTCCTAGGTGCTTTGCGCGCCGTTACGGTGCTATGATCGTTTCGATTTTGGAATATGTCTTTTGGCTTCTTCAAAGTATATTGAAATTCCTGCTCCGTGTTACTATAAATATCGCATACGCCTCCAGAATAGACAGATTTTATTATTTAATCGATCTAAATTTACCGAATAATCGGTTCTAAGTTTGGTTCCATGTTTTCGAGAAAAAAAAAAGTTAAAACCCGTATTGAAGCTGCCATTGAATAAGAAAGAGCCATTATTCACAGAAAGTAAATCATAGGCACAGATTTATTTCTTGGTAACTCGGAATACACCTGTGACTGAACTTCCGACGTCTCTGCATCTTCCTTCAGGAACTCCAGCCCTTATCTCGTTCCCTTTACTTATCAGAACTAGAACGTTTAGAACAGATTCTGGTCAATCACGAATGTTCCACGAAAGATAGGAATCTCACGCCTGTGTCCTTTCTCTTAACTATGAGCCATAAAAAAAAAAAGTTTTTTTTTATCCCGCACTAAAATGAACCCCGAAAAGCACCAAATCGGTGGGTATAAAAATCCCTCGAAATCACCTCGAATCCGAAGAAAAACAAGCCCATACAGGATTAAACGTTTAAAAGGCGCGAACTGAAACAGGATGAAAGAAGACACACGTACAACATGGACAAGCATCAACTTGCAACTGATTTAATTCGACACCAAACATCGTCAAACTGTCGATCACCATTACCTGTAGGCACCCCCAAACAACAAGATAAAGATTCCTATCACTCATCACACGCAGCCATCATGAAACAAAAAATTTCTGTTCAGCGGATAAAAGGATAGCATGCTAACGCATTTGTCAGCCGCTTTTTTGATACAGAAAGCTTCGATTATTTTCTTTACCATGTTATCATTTCATCTCTTAAGAAATCTTATGTGCTCTAACGTTGATTCACACCCACGTCCTTTGTAGTGCTCCGCAAGGTACTCACCCGAATTATTGCACACGGCTACCTTGGCTTCCCGCCCTCTTTCATTAAAACTAAGGCCGGTATGACCGATGTAAACTTAGCCGCAACAGGAATCACATATACCGCTTTAGTCACGCATTCAGGGTATCTTGTTACATGCTTTTCTTGTTGCTTTGGAGTGCCTATAGGTGATGATGATCGACAGTTTGACGATGACGATGCTTGGTGTTACATTAGATCGGTAGGAAGTTGGTGCTTGTCCGCGTCGTACGTGCGTCTTTTTTCGTCCTGTTTCAGTTCGCGCCTTTTAACCTTTTAATCGATATGTGCTATATAGCCCCAACCAAAGTTTTTTTCCAAAAACACCGGAACCCTAAATATAAATTATTCATCGGCATATAGCTATATTTTGCATTTCTTACATTCCAAACATTACAATCAACAGGGTCTTTCAGTTGGCACGTCTTATAGCATGCTCGCCCCCTTCATACAAATATTGTCGCCTATCACATTAACAGAGCCCGAAGATGGAAAGCCAGCTGAGGTGTCGCTACTACAAGGGACAAGATGGCTTCTTTGCACTACAACCAATCAAGCTCGAAGAAATGAATCTTAAGCCTTACATCATCGTTATGCACGACGTTGTTCAAGACAAAGACATAAAAGAACTGATGGCCTTCGCTGAGCCACGAGTAAGAAAGACCCTGCCTTATGTTTCTTCTTAAAAAAAGCATTTTTTGCTTCCTAGGTACTAAAGTCTTCTGTATATGTTAGCGGCGAAATTAACGTTTGGTGTCTCTTCTTTGTGCAGTCATTTATATAGCGGATGGTTGATAGAACCAATAAATTATAGGTTCAATCCCCAATTCGTTTTGTTACAATGTGGATGTGCATCGAAATGTGGCGGGGTCACGTATCATTACAGCGTAAAGCGCCTTAAGAATCCCAGGCTATCAGTCGTACGGCACCGGCGAAATTTCTCATCTAGAGCGTGTAACATTGTCATCAAAAACTGCCGATTAACCTTACTTGTGCATACATCTAGTAACTCATTTGTTTTTGTTTTTTTCAAGTTTTTTACTGATCTGATTAGTCTAATGGTCCTAAGTTCTGTAAAGTCTACTCGGCAAACCTACAAGGCATACCGCTTTCTTTCCAACCAAAGACGATATGAATGTTAAAAGTTCAAAATGTTGTGAATCGGAAGCTGGCGTTGAGGAACCAGAATTTTCTGATCTTCCACGTGCGACAGTATTCTTGAGGATCACCAGGTACCGTCTTGTAACATCGCTAAATTCTATAGCAGATATTAGCATCCACGTTGGTTTGCTCTGTTTGTGGTTTTTTTTTTTTTTTTCAGTCAGCGTTGGGAAAACCTGACTGTGGGAGGCAAAGAAAAATAATGTGTGACAATCGCGCTAGCCGCAGGTTAGAACGAAACACTCGATTCTCCCGTTTTTATTGGCACCTTCTCTTCTAGCCCTGGAGGGTGATGTGACGCTGCTTTCCGCATACATATTACGGTACACCATGTAGTCTTGCGAATTGTAGAACTTTTCTCGGCTGCGCGATCGCCACACGTCCCATTCTAGCCCACCGTACCTTCGCCATGTGAGGGAGAGTCTACGGCGAGGGTAGAAGAGTTCCGGTGCTAGCAGCACTCATAGGATGAGTTGGTGACGGTGACACTGAGGGGGAGTGAAGCGTGAGACTGTTTTCTGCCCTGACTAAAGAAACTATTTGTCGTCAAGCAATAATCTTTGTTCATTTTTTTTTAAATATGGGAAAGCAGTTAGTTCAAAAGGAAAATTTGGAATTGAAAGGAGAAAAATGAAATGGGAAACTGTTTGTATGTTTGTTTATAAAGCAGGAAGTTAGTTACCCCCAGTGGGCGTCTGGCGTTTTCATGTACACCCAAAACAGCTGCTAGGCATTAGGAGGGGTTCAAGTACGTGAGGAAAAAAATAAAAACACAAACTTGCAAGGAAACTTAAGAATGCTTTTCTTCGGATGAGGCGTTTTTTTCTAGATGTGATTTTTAATCTAGAAGCAATCGTAGTGAACTGGCTAAATTTATCTGTGTGAGAAATTGTGCCAGTACAGTACGACTACTAACCTAAGGTCTTTAAGGTGCACCACGCAGTAGTGATGCACGACCGCACTCCGGCACGAAGCCGAACTAGACTAAAAAGAACAGAAGCAGAGATTCAACCCAGGATCCCTGCGTTCTGTAGCAAATAAAAAAGGTATCATAAATACGTTTATTTTAATATAAAACAATTTTAAACAAAAGCGTACTTCGATTTTGTGCTTAAGTAAATGAAACAGTTATTGTAGAACTTACAAGGTACACACAAACAATCATGTTTCAGTTTTTTATATATGTTACTTTGTTCTCTTATTTTTCTTTTCCTCATTCCCACAACAGCTGGAACGATCCACAACGTACACCGGGGGTGAAATGGTGGCGTCCCCAGTACGAACCAGCTCAACGTAATATTAGATTGTTCCAAGCTTTCTTAACATAATGATTAATATTTCGGCGATTATTTCATACTCGTTTCAGGAAGACAATGGCAATCTTTGTTCTGTGCCAAGTTATAGAATTACTTGAAGTAATGCGGAGAGTTGAGCTATATTGCATGATGACATTATTGAACTAAATATTGAATATTCAAATATACAAATATTGAACATTTAATGTCGAATACTGAATATTGAACTAGTAAAAGTAATAATAAAACCATCTTTGTCTTTGTCCTATAATTGTCGAGTCAATCAAGGCACAAAGGAATTTGTAGAATATTATAGTTCACCGATTTTTTGTTATGCTGATTTTGCGCCTCCAGCCGGATGTGGTAATGCCTATCTGTGCTTCCAAGCTAACCACTTATTCGGAGCAGCCAACGGAATGTTGATTTGAATTACGACGTTCAGTCGTACGCCACAGCTCTCGCTTACTTTTCAAATACCACAGGGGCGCATTTATTTTCTCTTTTAGCCAAACGGGCTGTAAACCAGCACCGAGTGTTGGCACCTATAATTTGCTGACGCGACTCAACGCTTGCTATCAAAGTACATTGTTTTATAACGGCTTTTTTGTTAATACACGATAGCTGGTGGTTGCTTGTTGGCGCGAACATTGTCGCGTAGTGTGAAATTAATTGAGCATGCTGTAATGTAAAAACTAAAACACTAAGCGAGTAATGTACGTTATTTGACGTGTCCGTCATTGCCAAGTGTGGTTAGAAATAAAAAGACATCGATCTAACATGATTCTCTAAATAAAGAAAACATATGAACTTCGTATCATTAAGGTCGGGTTTAGCTCACACTTTATTAATTGGTTTTAGGTAGAAAAGGACTGTTAATTAATGTATTACGAAATATGTCAAGTTTCTTCTTTTTCGTTTTACAATATACATCAAATTAGCAGATGGGTTTGATGACAGTGTTTTTTTAATCAACTTTAAGACCATTGGTTCAAGAAACATAAATAACCTGACTAAAGTGTGGCTCCTAATTTTTTGTAAGCGTAGTATATACTCATTACCAAAAGGAAATAAAAAATCCTACCGTTGAGATATTTATGAAATGAACGAGGTGACACATTATTTGACCTCTCCAAGCTTTGCTTCCTGGAATGTTGTGACCGGAAATAAACACCAGCTAATCAAATAGATGGTCCATGGAAGAACCTAAATAGAGTGATTAGTTTATCACTGATTCAGAGTTTGCTAATGCAATTACACACAAACACACACATACGAACACACACAACACACAGGTCCACCATGGTCTGTGTAGCATACTGCGTTTATGCTTTGCAGCGCACTTGTGATCGCCAAACCAAATAGTAATCTCACTGCTTGAGAACCACAGGGTTTTCTTAAGGTGTAGTTCTTAAGCTGTCAGAATGTGTTCCCGCTTCTTGCATCGAAATTCACTCTACGGCATTCGTCTTAGCGACAAATGCCGCCATTCCATTGGCTGCCAAGCCGTATACGTGGTTTGCTTGCCACGTCACCGCGCTCAGTGCTGGCGGTCATTCTTACTCGCTCTTACCGAGAAAAAAAAAAAAAACAGTCAGCAAAGTCACTGTAATTGCCGCTGATGATCTGACGTCAATGCAGCCAAGCATAATATACAGCTCGAGGCTCGCCACACGTTAGTTATTAACCGTCATTTACCAAGCTGGAGTCACGCTGCAAATACACCGTACAAAAGATAGTCTGGAGAGTCGTCTTTCTTCCTCGTATACAAAGGTCCCGTCCTATATGTCATACGAATACTGACTAAAGATTCAAAGAATCCATATGTGTAAAGCGAACATGCATGCTTCGAAGATGCTTGAGGCGTGTGTACGTAGGCAATTCTGTCGCCATTTCCGCAGCGAACAGTGTGTCTTTATAGGATGTAGGAGCTGGAGATTGAGTGAGGCTTTACGTGTTGGCGCTTTGACACGCACATTTGCCTTAATTTTCACGTTGATAAGCCAGCTAATTTTATCATTGAAAATAAAAGAAAGGAAACGAAGTATTGCCACAGTAAACATTTCGTGTGTTAAAAAAACGTTTTTATTTGTCACATACATACTTTTTTACAGTGCCTGGCTGAACGAAGATGAGGCACCTATCGCAGTCAGAATGAATTCGTATCTGCGGGCTCTCTTGGGCATGGGTACCTCGGACACCGACGAAGAAGCGGAAGCGTACCAGGTTAGAGAACTTCAGTCGTTATGCGAGAGCTGCTAGGGATGTGCGTTTGAGGAATTGCGATGCATTTGGGAATGGGGTGAATTTGTAGCACGCAAAAAAACACACACGAAGATTTGCTTTGACTGACGCTGAACTGACCAAGGGAAACAGCAAATTGTGAAAGAGAGTAAAGTAAACAAATTTATAAAATGAAAATAGAAAATACGCAAGAAGTTTGAAATAAAAAAAGGTAATTATGATTATATGAATTTTTTTTATCGTATTCATTAGCAGTATCTTGCCAATGTTCCCTCTGTTCTACAAGTAGTGTTTTTTTTCTTCGACGCTCATCGTGTGTATTGTTAGATTAACCACGAGTGAGAACGCAGCCGGCGTTACGAGCCAATAGATCCGTTCAAGCAACAACAAAAAGCGCAGCGTCATGATGTTTGTATTTCTCTCAAGTGTCCGCTCTCACCACCTGACGGAATCGGGTGCTGCCAATCCTCCCTGACCTTGAAATTTTGGTACGCGTAAGCATTTCTCTATTCGTACGTCCTCTAGAGTCGCTGACGGTTCAAAAACACAGCGCAGGGCGAGTCCTGCGTGCATATCATTATCGCTTCAGAGCCGACAGGATTCTAGCATTATTTCATAAGAACGCCGAAGAACCAATCACGAAGCGAAGAGCGTGAACATCATAAGCAACGCCCACGTTTCTTGAGGTGTCAGTGACTCAGCAAAGCGCAAGCTCGTCTGTTTATTTTGCTGGGATTGTGGTAACGTCACAAGGTCTAGCTCTGATTAAAGGATAGTGAGTAGACCTCAAGTCAGCTTGCTTTCAGGTCTACCCACGACACTTCCAATCAGAGCCGATTGGAGCTGGGCGTTCTGATGTCGCCACAACCCCTGCAAAATGAAGCAGACGAAATTGCGTTCCCCGTAGTTTTTCGTGCTTTCGTTCGTTGTCGGGTAACTGCCGATTGCGTCGCTCTATGGCTCATGTGCCTACAGAAAGCGGTGACGGAGGATTGTGCACGAAACTTTTAGCATCAGTTTCTCTCCGACATCAGAGTGCTAAGCCTTGTCGTCTAAAGATATATGTTTTTGACTAAAATCTGTCGTGACAATTGGAACCGTCCATAATCACGACTACAAACTCGTACTTCCAACCGTACCGGTTATTTAGCCTATTATTAAAACAACATTTAAAAGCAAAAAAAAAAAAAAAGCATCGCACTGGACTATAGCAGCCTCGGTGTTATTAATTTATTTGCTACATTATAGTCAGGCAAGGCGTTAACTACTGAACCCTTAAGGTGTCCCGTCCATATTTTCGGAGCGTTCTCTAACCTATGCTGTTGTCGGGCTATTAATCACAGTGTTTATTGAGTGACGCATGCATATGCTTATCGTAGAAAATAGTGGTTCGGGTTAACGTTCACGAGTTAAGATAGATACCCTGAGAACACAAGAGATTACGTTTAATGTGAAGTTCGACTGCGTGTACCTTCAAGGACCACGGGGCATTGCAGAGTATAGGCTACGGAACACATAGATGAACATTAGTATCAAAATGAAACAGTCTTACGTAGATTTCTCAACAGTAGTTACCTAGGCAATTTGACTTTTTTTTCTAATATAAATGTTCGGCTGTGAGCAAATATGTTTTAAGGTTGCCTTTGGTCGCGTTAACTGTCACTGACTCTGTTGTACTAAAAACTGCGGAACACGTGAAAAAGTAACCCCGACAACGTTACTCGTTTTACGAATAGGGGCATGCTCGCCAACGCAGCAGTCTTCGTACACACATCCCTCGAAGATGCTTACCCACGGGCATCGAAATAAGCTATCGAGAGTTCATTTCCACTGAGATCTTGATTTTGCGCGCATTTTAAGATTATAGTTTCGGATATCTCTAAGAAACGCTGAGCTTGAACTTTGTACATGTCGGTGAGGGTGCACACCGTAACGCCTGCCACAATCAGCGAACCTTTCTACCAAAATAACTGATATAACTTTGTCCGATGTTTTCTAACTGAACATACTTTGTGTCGATGGACAGCTGGCCAACTATGGAACTGGAGGGCAGTTCTTGCCGCACCACGACTTCCTTCAAGACTCCTTCCACTCCTACAACAGTGTAAGTATTCTCAAGCTCCTTTCCGTCGTCTGGCTCTTAAGTTGCTATCCTTCATTTCATTTTAAGTCAGATCGCACCGGCACCACGATTCGGCGGAATCAATCAAACGTCGCCTAAGCTGCGTCGTCACGGCGCTTGATGTCTTTGTAGGTCGGCTATGACCGGCAGAACCAATCACGCACATAGAAGAAAACGAAAAAGGAGCACAGAGCCGCGGCGCATACGCTGTGAGTGATTAGTTTACTCGGTGATGCCAAACGCGCAAACGCGATAAACGGCGTGAGGATGCGCTCTTGGCGCTGCTTTATCGGTTTGCTCGGGTCGTACACTCTAAAAAATACCTGCGCGTCTACTTACCCGTAAAACACTCAAAGAGCCAATCTTTGCGATTTAGGTAATCAGCTCAGCGCATGATGAGGAAGAACATCCGTTTCGACCTCAAAATGAAGTCTGCGCTGTGGCATTACAGAATGCAAAGCGTCATGCTTGCATTGCGTAATGCCGCAGCGCACACAACATGTTGAGGTCTGAACAGGTGTTCCGCCTCATCATTCGGGAAGCTGATTTCGTAGATTACAAAGATTGGCTCTTCTAGTGTTCTGCGGCTAAGTAAACGCGCGGCCTTTTCTTAGAGTGTAGCAACTTTTGCTATCGGACTTAAAGTGAAGCGTCTACTTTCCCCCAAGGCACTTAGAAGATTTAATCGCAGCAGTCTGCTTAAGGATTTCGGTGAATGACGAAACTGAAAATGTTTAGGCCTAAAAAAACAAGAAAAAAAAACAGTCTGGTATGCGGCACCAAGCACAATGTTTCAACAAACTCAGTGCCAGAATATATATACTTATTTTTTTTTTGTCTAAGCTTAATTTTAATTTCTGAATTCACCGATATCTCTGAAAGGGCCCCTCGCACAAAGCCCGATACTCCCAAGAACCCCCCAAAAAGTGAGCAAACACCCTCATCTACCCCTTTCCAAACTGGTTGGCGTGGTGAGCTTCTTATCCCGGTCCTCTTTCATCAGGCTTCTCGATTGCCAAAAACGTTCAATGCTCACTTGCATTTTTTTTGCAGTCACTATATTAATTGTTTTACTTGCCTATTTCTTATCGTCCCGCGCCTATTTCTCACGTGTTTTATTTTTCCTTCGGGAGTGTAAAACTGGCGCGGGGTTATCTGACACGTTTAATATCCATTGCGGCAACTTAGTTCAAGGCGCTCACTGTGCCGATGCGTGTAAACAAGTACATGCTATTTTAGACGGTATTTCCCTGCTTCCTACAAACTACCACGCAAGTAATATGGGTCTTAGAACGCTTTAGAAATAGTAAAAGTAACGACATGTCCGGCATTCAGATCAAGCCGGTAAAAGAGGTCATTCTTTCTGTAGTTTCAGTCTGACACACATTAATAAGTTGGCTCTTGAGAATGAAGTGTTCCCTAAATAGTACAGCTGGCTACGGTGTTCGTCCTCTTAAAGTCCGGGGTTAAGAATAATCTAGGTAACTGCGAGCCTCTGTATGTCTTACCGCTGTTCTCGAGAGAGCTTGTAAAAATTTTACATACGAAATCATGGTAATTTTACGACAAACATGAAGTTATTACCCTTCATGAATTGGGACTCCGGTTATAGCAGCGCAAACTGGACGGAGTTTGCGCTGCTAAAACAAAGGAAAACGATAATGACCAACATCGAAAACAAACTGCTGTATTAGATATTTTTACTGATTTTTGAAGACATTCGGTCGCCTCCATCATTAAATATTGCTACCAAAACAAAACCACCTTGGCGTCCAGGTTGTTGCTTTAAATTAAATCGAAAGCTACCTACGAGATCCTCATGAATACGTCCAGATTGATGGGGAACGCTCAAGCATGCGCCATATTAAGGAGGGTGTGACGCAAGGAAGTATTCTGTGGCCCGTTATTTTCAGCCTCTTTTTTTTAAATAAATGTTCCAGTTAGTTTAGTTATTAACGCCCACTACATAATATACGCATATGATACACTATAGCTTAATATTTTCAGGAACTAACAATGACCTTATTATAGAAAGAGCAAATCAATTTGAGAGAGGTTAGGTATTTGGTCATCACAAACTTCTTAGCAATAAATGTCGCGAAAACCAGGGTCGCTATTTTCCGAACAAAAAATCCGTGCTGCGCAAAAAGTCGGGTACTCTTTCTTGGGTCGTGAAATGTTGAAATTGGGGTAAATGTGAAGGTACTTGGCGTACCCTTTAATGAACAATGCTGTGGAATGAGACTTTACAACGCATAACGATAACGCTGTCAAATTCTGTTAGCGTTTTTTCATAAACGCAGTTTCATAATTCTGGCCTCGGTAAAGTTACTTTACAGAATGTCCTGTTCTGCTCTATTTCTCATTCTTGTATTTTGGTGTGGGGAACAACAATTAAAACGAATACTCGCAAGCTTTATGGACTGAAAATAAAGGGAACTATGAATTCTGTGTAATGTCGCGTATGATTATCTTACGAAACTTGGTGTTTAATAGAACTTGATATATTGAAGACGAAATGTCTACATCCATAGGCTCTTTATTTCATATAAAAGGTCCTTACAAAGCTCCGATAGCGTATATAGTTTGATTTTCTGTTTTGGAGTCCCCTCTCCCATGATATGGCACGCGTCATTCTCGGTCACCACAGCGTTCGGATCAATAACGGTGACATTAAACTGTAATCCACGCTCCCAAAAATTTTTAAATTATGCTCGGGCAAAAGGTCTTGGAGAAAAAAGGTCAAATGAAAAATATATGTGAATAATATAAATATATATTTTTTTTCGGCGGGTTCCTGAAAACTTTGACTCTTTGATTCATTGGATTAAGTATGGTTCATTCATCTGCACATATTCGTTTATATATATATATATATATATATATATATATATATATATATATATGCATAGCTCGTTTGAGTATAATTTTTTTTGCTCTTGGCTCGTATTTTGTGGGACCGGGTACGATCGTTCCTTGTACCACTTTTGCTAATGTGCTAACTGGTCAACATTTCGAGTATAATGTACGTCATTTGTTGCTTCGGTCTAAGGCTCTTTGTATTGTCATTGTAGCAGGCCTCTGGTTTAAATTATACCTTTATTCCTCTATGCATATCTTCGAAAACGTAACTGTTTTGACCCTTCATCGAATATTAAGGGGAAGCAAGGACATGATCAAGCTCCTAAATGCAATTTTTTCCTCTCGTTCCCCTCTCAAACGGAGATCTTACTCATTGATTAATTGGTTGATTGAAATTGCAAATATTGACCCTCCCAAGTGCTTTGCGGGGGAGTAGGCGTTACACACTTTATTTAAGATCTGAAGACGGCGTATTGCTTGTGCTCACATATTAAGATTGGTCGGTGCATAGGTTTAATAGGCTGCATAAACTTGGCTGAAGAAATGTCCATGGGCTCGTGCCGCATGACGATGTCGGGCGTACAAGAGGTGAGTGCCTGTGGCTCAGAGTCTGCTACAGGCAAATGTGCAGCTCCCCGCGCCACCGTCTTTGAGGCGTATATGCAGAATGGCGTGCAATTGTTTTTAACGATTCGACAAGTCGCACGGGACAGTCACGAGAACTGCCCGTGATACCGAGCGCGCGAGCTCGCGTGCTCGGCCCCGGCCGAGCGACTGTAACTAAAAGACACCGACGCTTCTTTTTTTCATTGTGGACTTAATTCTATACCAATGTGAATTTATATATTCATGTATAAGAATATTATGAAATATAATGATTTGAGACGTTGTCATTTCGCATTTCTTTTTACTTCACGAGTTTCCGTTTTTCAAATCACAGTATCAGGTTTCTATCATCGTGTATGAATTATGTCTTTTAGGTCTCAGATCCTTGTATGTAAAAGTACCGACTGTAATTTGTTGCAGTCATATCACAATTATTTGTATTATTAAGTTAAGTTTCCCTAAGCACGGCTACTCTAAAACATTTATATGCCTGTTTACGTTACTTTTTTCCCCTCTTTATTGTTTGCTGCGAAACTGCACTGCTGAGCTATGTACAAGAGCGGTGAGGCTTAGTCACTTAAAGCTTGTTTGCATTTTGCCTCCCCACTCGGGGCTCAAGAAGTCGAAATAAAGATTATTATGAGCGGAGATTGTCAAACCACAGCTGCAGGAGCGCGTTGCTTTTTTTTTTTTTTATCTTTATTGACAAAAGTTTGTTGTGTTGAAGTGAGCAAACGAGCAGCCAGCAGAAAAGAATGGACGGGCGTGCGCACTGCGCTTTTCTCGTCGGCAGGCGGCTCGCGGCGCTCCGGTGTTATCTGTGTGACGTCACTTCCGTGACCAGGTTTTTGTGACATCGACATCCCAACTTTGCACCCCCTTCGAAGCTCGGAGAAACGGGTAGTTCTAAGTGAAAACCAAATATGAAAGAACAACACCATTATTTGTAATCACTTTAGTTCTAAATATAAAGTCAGATTTAAGCTGACCGTGTTTGAGGTGAGTAGAACCTAATGAAAAAAAAAAAAAGAACTTACGCAACCTTGTACGCCAATCTATATTGATTGCGTATCATGTTTGTTTTTTGGCTTTTAACTTATGTTCTTTGCACGCACGTGCATTCATACATACGAATACAATGTTGCCGGTTAATTAATTTAAAAAGCTTCACTGCATTTGCTAGTTTGTGCTCGCTCTTTCTCGCGAGAGTTCGAACGTGGTGGCGCCACTTTGCAAATAGCGCCCTACCACTTCAAGCTCTGAACTAGACGGTGGGTTTCGCAGTATTTGTGTAATCAAATATATGTGCTATTGTACGGAAATGACCACTTATAGCACTGTAAGACTAAAGTCATTCTTATAATAGAAGAATAATGAGTAAAAAATTAGGAAATGTACGTGAACCGGAAGTGTGGCGGGGCTATTCAATAAATAGCGCCACTGAGTTTGTTACCAAACAAAAAATGGTGAATAGCCCATCCTGGGCGTTAGAAATAGGGCAGACACATAACACCTTTTAACTGAAGGTTGTGTGTGTGTGTGTGTGTCCCTTTTTAGTGTACGTCCTTCGTTAAAGGTTCTTGATACGTTTGTCTAAAATAAATGGGCTTACCTGCCTCCTGATACCTGGAGCGCATTTCCGACTAGTGTGTTTACCACGTCCTAAAAAGTGGTCCCTCGATTTCCGGTTGGTGACGTCACAGAAGTATAATGCTGTCGGTGACCGCGATAATAGCCGTGCCACAGATGAGGTGGTGCAGTGACAGAAACCTGTTTTTGAGAGTCCATGGTAACTTCGGCAGCTAGGATTTGGGACGCCGCGACGACAGCGACACTCGCGTTCGCTCGTATATTTTTGCCTTGACTTCTAGTAGCTAGTGTCAACCGCCAGGATCTCGACGTTCGTCAGCGTGACAGACCGGCTTCTGTGACGTCATTTGTTGCTACTTCAAGACCACATGTGATGTATGTGCAAGATAGAACGCTAAACACACCAGCCGAAGACGCACTGCCTGCACCCTGCTCCTGATTCCGACGTAAAATAACGGTTTCTTATACGTTTCTATAGGCACGACTGATGCATTTGCACTTGCTCTTTAAACGTGAATGTCGTCTTTAAAGACGTCATTATGATAAAAAAAGTTATGCCGTCTTCAAGCAGAGCACAAAATACAACACCTTTACCTTCACCGTGGATGAAGGTAAAGGAACATTATGTTTACCTTTGCCACTTTTTCAGTCGGCCGATTATTACCTTCAGTATGGAACAGGAGACAGAGTGGCCACGCTTATGATCTACGTAAGTAAACCTCCTTTTTTTCGCAGAAACTTGGGCGCGTGAATCCTCGTAGAATATTCCCAAGTTTCAAATTTATGAACACATTTTTTAATTGTTTTGTATTGCAATGTACACATCGTTCTGTAGCGCACAGCGTATCCCCTGTACAGTGAAATAAATGTATGAGCTATAGTCGGTAGCAAATTAAGAATTAAAGGGAAGCTCCTCCCGCCTCTTTCCACTAGATTTTATCGAAGGCTGGAGAGGGGGCTACCCCCTCCTCAGCGTTAACTTTGCTGGAGTGGAAACATGTGGAAGGAGCTTCCCCTGAACTCTAATTACCCCGTCACCGACTATTCATGGTACACTAATCGACGCTTTACGAACGTGCTCACCACGTAATAGCTCCTGCAATATATATCCGAGTCGACCATTGCTTCGGACACGCACCCTGTGCATGCGTTTGGCAAGGCTGCGTCAGTGTTCGGCGTGAGCTCGGCTTAGCCCGTATTGAGAACGAGTGCTGCGTCAGCGTTTGGCGAGGGCCCGGATCTAATAACACGTCTCATGCTAGAGCAATGGTGACCTCCATTGCTGCATGTTAGGGTTTTGGAAAGGGTATATTGCCATGCGCGTCCCCGAGTAAGCGGGCCCATGGCCGAATGGCTATCGTTCTTGACTCCCACGCGAAGGACAGAGCTTCGATGCCTGAGTGCCGACGCACCTTTTTTGCTATTTCTGTAAATGTCGCGTTCTGGTAAATTCGAGAGCCCTGTTACTTGTTCGAGGTTTGAATGTTCTACGTGTCGAAACTTCTACGCAGAATATTCCAGAAGGCCGCGCGTGTACATAACGAGCTCTGCATTGCGAGCCGGGTTCAGTCTCGCCTTTGCGCCAGGTCCTGCTATTCCGCCGCCATCGACGCCTGCGACGCTATCCTTCTTCTACTTTTTCTTTTTTTTTTGGGGGGGGGGGGGGGGGGTGGGGGGGCGGGTGGCAGGAGTTCGCCTTATTAAACATTTAGTTTCCTTCAGTTATTCGTCGCCTCATCTATTGTCCTTCATGATATTTTGGTGGAGGTGCAGGGTACCATGTTCTATGCCCGTGAAACGCACTCCTCAAAACATCTGTCGGGCTGGATCGTTTTCGAGTCCTGGAAAGCATATCCCCGCTGACGAACCTGAAACCTTGACTAGCCGCCATATCCAAGGCCTGCCCCCGGAATTAGTCTTTGTAACGCACTACGGCGAAACAAAACGGAACACCACCGACTTCCATCGCCTACGTGCAGCCCCCCCCCCCCCCCCCTCCCATGGACGCCGGCGACTTTTCATGGCGACCGTTATGAAGATGTGTCGGAGAGTTGACCGAGTGCGAGCGCGTCGCCCGGTTCAGCGGATAGGTGGTAGAGCAAAGCCCACGGAACGTCTACTTAGCTCTGGAAGGCAGGGCACGCACCTGGTGCGAAAAACACGAAGTGTCGATTTCGTCATGGGAAGACTTCAAGGCCGAACTTCGACGCACCTTCGCCAGCCAGCAGCGACGACAGCCAACCGACGAACTTCTGCAAGCAAGAACCCAAGGGCCGAACGAGAGCGTTACAAGTTTCGTCGAAAACGTTTCCTGCTTGATGAACCGCGCCGACCCGAACGCTTCAGAAGAAAAAAAGCTTCGGGTCTTGATGCGGAGAATGAAGAAAAACATCTTCAGAAGCATTGTGCGAACCACTATCCACTATCGAAGGATTCGACACTGAGGCCACAAACATCGAACGTGCTTTTCAAGCACGGGCCTCCAACTACCAGCGACTTCTCGGCGTCGCTGCCCTCTCGCCTTCAAGCTGCAAGAGCCAGGACATTCGCGAGATCATTCACGACGTCGTCCGGGGAGAGTTCAAGAAACTCTTACCTGCTGCCGCAATCCCAGCTTCGCACTCAATCGCTGAGGTTGTAAGGGAAGAGATTTAGCAAGCTCTTCAGCCGTGGGTTCCCCTCAACGCCGCTCCGGAACCACCAGCCGTAAGCTACTCCGTCGTAGTTCGTAACCCGCCACTCCCGTCTTCTTGACAGTACTCGGTGGTAACAAGAGGCTCCTCCGCCCCACCAGAAGCAAGGTAGGCCTCGAAAGACCAACGTGCGGAGGGCGGCAGACCGTCACCCAATATACTTCCACTGTGGAGAAGCTGGGCGTGTCTATTACTGCTGCTACTACCGCCAGCTTGGTCTCCGATTTTTATAGCCGTGCGACCTCGGGACATTGACGAATATTTCCGCCGGTCGCTATCTAAGGGACCGTCTCCCGGCCTCAGTTTCCGTTCGTCGTCGACTCTACGCAGATCCCACTGTGAGAGCCTGTTCTCCCTCTCACGTCGGGAAAACAAAGAGCGGCAACCCCTGTATGTGGATTTGCCGTGGGCCGACGACGTAAATAGCCTCCAAGAACGCCGGAGAGCTCCCACTCTTGCGACGCCACTGGTCGAAACAACGCTTCCGCGAAAGTGCCCAACAGCATCAACGCTGTTATCGACGGCTGCGACGCGTCGGCCCTCGTGGACACCGGAGCAGACTACTCCGTTTTGAGTGGAAAGATCTCTCGACTCCTTCGGAAAGTAACAGCACCGTGGGATTGCCTGCAGACACGCACTGCCGGAGGGCACCTTATTTCATTCGTTCGAAGGTGTACCGCCCGCGTCACGATTCACGGCGAATCCTGTCCTGTAAAGTTCGTCGTTCTTCAGGACAGTGCGAGGGATGTATCCCTTTGAATGGACTTCTTGTGCGAGTATGGTGCGGTGATCGACCTAGGAGAGAACAGTTTGACACTCCGACAACCTATCCTGATGCCCGTAAGGACCTACGGTAAAGGCAGCCGCTGTCCGAACACTGGCCGACTATGTGAACCTGTCGTCGCTGTCGAATATTTCGATGCCCGCCAAGTACGGTGAATCTTCCTGCGTTGAAGTTCTGCTCGAGGAAAGCCTCCAGTTGCTTCTTGAAAGAGGATTCCAAGTCGCAAAAGGTGTAACAACGCTTCTAGACGGACGTGCCACAGTCTTGGTTACAAACTTCCGACAACAGCCCCAACACCTTACCAAGGGTACCGCTCTGGGCCACATCGAGGAACTCCAGGACTCAGCCGTGATCACTGCATCGTGCGAAGACCCGTCATCATCGCAGCCCCAGAGAATGCCGCCCACGGAAGTTATCATCGATCCGAAGTTTCCTGCTCCAGAGCGAGGACGACTGCTTGAACGTCTCGGCTAATTCACTGAGTGCTTCGCGGCCTCCTCAATATTGCGACAAGGGAAGGTAGGGAAGAACCGCATTGTTACCGACGACGACGCGGTCCCGATACACCCCTCACCATGCAGAGTATTTGTGAAAGGTTATTGAGGAAAAAGTTAAAGAAATCCTCGATGACGTGATCATCCAGCCGTCAAGCAGTCAATGCACCTATATAAACACTGCTCTTCAAGAAAAGCAGCGTACTCTCAGATTTTGCGTGGACTATCGTCGATTGAACGCTGCGATTGAGAAGGATGTCTATCCGCCTCCTATCGTCAACGACACGTTGGACCGACTTTGCCACTCCTGCTATTTTTCGTTGCTGGATCTACAAAGTGGATGCTGGCAGATCGAGGTCAATGAAAGGGATGGCAAGAGGACGGCCTTCGGCACACCGGATGGGCTGCACAAGTTTCAAGTGATGTCCTTCGGGCTATGCGCGGTGCCAGCTACCTTCCAGCGTGTAATGGACATCGTGCTCGCCGGTCTGAAATGGCAGAGCTGCCTGGTCTACCTCGACGATCTAGTGGTGTTCGCCAGCAACTTCGACGAGCACTTGAGACGACTCCGAGCCGTGCTTGAAGCTATCAATAACACAGAACTCACCCTCAAGCCGACAAAACGTCGATTTGCTTACGAGGAATTGAAGTTCTTGGGAACGTTGGGAGCAGCGGAGGTGTTCGTCCGGACCATGAGAAAACTCGCGACGTAGCCACATTTTCACCGCCGTGGGAAAAGAAGGCTGTAAGAAGATTCCTGGGCCTTTGTGCCTAGTAGATGCTTTGTCCGGGATTTTGCCAAGCTCTCTCATCCCTGACAAACCTCACAAAGGACGCAGTAAAATTCGAATGGACAGAAGAGAAACCGCGGGCATTCGACAAACTGAAGCGACTCCTTCAAACCCCTCCTGTCCTTGGGCATTTCGAACAGTTTGCAGAAACAGAAATGCACTCCGACGCCAGTAATACCGGACTTGGCGCCGTACTGGTCCAAAGGCAGGAAGGCAGAAAGCGAGTTATCGGATACGCAAGTCTGGGGCTAAGGCGGAACGCAACTACTCAATGACAGGTAAAGACTGTCTTGCTGTCGTCTGGGCGATGAAGTTCAGACAATATCTGTATAGCCGTTCAGACAATATCTGCATGGCCGTTCAGACAATATCTGCATGGTAGTACGTTCCCTCGTGCTTTTTACGAATCCTGCCTAAGGTATCTTTTCCCCATTCGGGAAAACGAAAACTTTGGCGACAACACAGCGTGACTGTAGGTTATCCCCTTCCAGCATTCTAGAAGAAATCATCCAAGAATGCAATGACGACCCTACGGCGAGGCACCTCAGGTACAGCAGGACACTTGCCAGAATTCGTAAAAAAATACTACTTGCCCAAGCTTCCGAAGACCGTTCATCTCTGTACCCGACGATACCACGAATGACAACGACGCCAGAAACCGCCCACGAAGCACTCGGGGCTTCTTCCACCGATTACGCCGCCAACTTCCCCGTTTCAGCAGATCGGGATGGACTTGCTTGGACCTTTCCCACCATCGACGGAAGGGAACCTGTGGATAATCGTCGGCACGAATCGTCTTAAGCTATACGCCGACACCAAAGCCCTACAGTCGAGAATGGCGGTTGAAGTCGCCAAGCTTTTCATCGGGTTTATTGTCCTTAGGAACGGCGCTCATAAGGATTTATATACAGATCTTGGGTTCTTGTTTATTGCGCAGCTGACGTGAGAAATTCTTCTTCTCAGCCACCAGCCATCGTCGCAACACGGCA